ATATAAACTACTTTACTTATCTTGGAGATCTCATCAGTCTTGATGGTCTGGTGTTTGTCAGTCAGTCAGCTACAACGTAGGACCAGGCACATATATGCATCGGTCCAGGTTGCCATACCTCATTAACACAACAAGATGGACACCGGATTCATACAAGTAGTTAATTCAGAAGTGGTAATATGTAAAAGACAGACTGCAATAAGGATATAGTACAGGAAGAAAGAATTAGTTCGTAGAAAGATATGAAGTGGTTTCAATCTCTTAGTTTAAGGAAAGACAGAGTGTAAACACCTACGCCACTGTCATCAATTCTGAACCATGTCACCAAGAGTCTCCAACCATTGGTTACGATAGTCACGCGGACCACAACCAAGTTGTCTGCATCTACCAACATGGCTCAGACTAGAAGTTAGTGACTTCAAGCACTGATGCCACGTTTTGGTTTGGCTGCCCCTAACTTCCAACCATCCCGAACACCGGTTAGCATTGCACATCGTGGTAATCAGTGTTCGGGCAGCTGAACTGTTCTGAAATGTTCCGCCCATCGTTCTAAACGTCTGGACTGGGAGCAGATGAGAGTATCGTATTTTTCCGAAATAATCTCACTTACACTTGACTTATTAGTTCCAGTTTCTTTTATTAGTCTGTAGAGCTGTCTTGTGTGTCCCTATAGCCGCTGCCTTTTCCATCTCTTTTGCTTTCGTTGCCCACCGCTGCTCACGGTCGTTCCTTAGACTTTTGCTTAACCTAGATCTGATTTGTTGTCGCTCTTCATTGGGTTCAGAGCCTGATGGGATGAGTTTACGAGAATCCATCAGTGCAATAGACCTAAAGGAAATTCATTGGTTCTTTGTAACCCTGTGGTTTAAATCACTGATAGATGTCACTGCTGTTTCCATAGCTGTTGGTATAGCTTTCCAAGCAACATCTGGGTCAACCTCATTTTCAGAACTACCTAATTGTGACCTCAGTTGTTCCTGGAACCTACTTTGGGTTTTCTCGCCACTCAATTCAGTTCTAATGGGTCTTTTTACTGTGGCTTTTTTGCGTCCAGTGAGGGGCAAGCAGATGCGTGCCCGTATTAGGGCATGGTCGGAGTCCAAGCAGGTACTCCAGAATGAGCGACAATCTTCTACCGACCCTCTCCAACGATGACTGATGGCAATATGGTCTATTTGAGTCCATCGTTGGTTTGGTGTAGGGAGTCACCATGTTAGACGATGTCTCTCCTTATGCTTAAAATTTGTGTTTGCTAAAAATGAATGATTGTCTGAGCACAGTTGCAGCAGACGATCACCATTATCTGTTCGCTGTGCTGGAATACTAAAATACCCACCTAAATGCCTTTCTGTTTGGTTTAACCTACCTATCTGGACATTAAAGTCACCTGCTACGAGTACTATGTCTGAACGTTTAGCTTTCTGAAGAAGTTCAGATAGCTTTCTGTAAAATTCATCTTTCACTTCATCTGAGCTGCAGTCGGTGGGAGCGTAGGCAGAAACGACAAAAAGCCAACGACGTGTGTCCCTATCCTTCCGAGTTCTTACGGAGCCTTTTAGCCCAACAGCACATAAACGACTGTTAACGGGGATCCACTCTAACAGTGCTTGTCCCGCCCTCATGCCTAGTGCTATCCCTACTCCTGCCAGTCCACGAGAGCTGGCCATTGCGTCACCAGATACACGGAGGGTGTATCTCGTTGTCTCTCCGTTTTGCCGAGGTGAGGTCAAGTGAATGACCACACTGGGATCCTGTATGCGTGTTTCAGAGACACAGCATACATCAATGATACGAGATTCTAGGGTTCTAGCCAAGGAAGACTGTTGACCGATTTGACATACGGTGCGTACGTTGAAGGCTCCAATGTGTAGTTTGGAGAGAGGTTTCAGTAGACCTGGGACAGAGTTTTGAGCACTAGAATCGTTGGTTACGGTGACACTTGAGTAGGAAGCCGAAAAAGGAAGTTTAGAGGTGAAAGTCGATGTAGGAGGAATAATAGGAATTGAAGAGGAAGGTTGATTATGAATACAATGGTCTTGGGTGCTATTAGAGGTATGACGGTGGTTGTCACTTCCCGATTGCCCACACCGTAGGAGGGTTCTTCTGGAGGTACCTGAAAAGGAAATTGGATTAGAGGTGGTCTTAGTGACCTGGGAGCGTAGCCGCAGTGCCCAAGGGACAACTGCTTGAGGTCGGTCACATACGACCTCTTTATGGGTAATTTTTGTGTTAGCTCCGTACTTTTTGGGACCTTACCGCCGGAGATGGATATCCGTGGGATAAGGCGAGCTGTGCATTTTTAGGGTCGACCCTTTCTAACCCCACCCCTCCTTGTGGGAAGGCAGCATCGCTGTTATGCTGGTTGTCTGAAGGAAACACCTTAATGCTGTCACACCTCTGTACAGTCAGCAGTACGACTTCGCCTTCAGACCTTGGGTCTGTTGCTTTTAGTCTTACCGCTCTTCAACCGACCTGTCTGGCATGGTAGGACCTTGAGGAACGGTTGTTCCAGCCAGTATAGCTCGGTTGCTTCATCACGATAGGCAAGCCCGACCACCACGTCAACGTAGCAACAACGGTCTGGTGTTTGACGGAGTCTTGGAAGGAGTTGGAAGGCTCAATTGGCTTTCGTCGGCTTGAGCCATTTGTGGCGTGAGAGAGATATCCGTCTTCCAACCAAAGGGTAGGTTTATTGTGCAGCAGTTTGGTCCGTTCTACATCATGAATGTGAAATATAGACATTAAGAATAGAGTATGTTCGTAGGTTACTGGTATTCTATCATAGGTGTTTGAAGCATTCCTCGTGTATTTTCGAACCACGGAGTAGGATGGCAAATTGACTGATGAGGTGGTAGATCTATAACAGCTGAGGTGGTTGGTACATGTGTTATGAATGCCTAACCACCACCAACCTTGATGGGCGATGTTGTGTGGTGTATTAGTAGTAGGCTGAGAGTTAGGGGCGATCATACCAAAACATGGCATCTGTCCATAAAGTCACTGACAATTGAACTGAGTCGTGTTAATGGGTTTAAACTACATGGTTGGGGTTTGCGTGATCATCGTAACCAATGGTTAGAGACTTTGAATGACTGATCCGAATCTGGCCACCCCTAACATTCATCCAAAAATCCCCAACACTAGTCAGCATTGCGCGTCGTGGTAGTCAGTGTTTAGGCATACGTAACACGTGGTTCAACCATCTCAGTCGGTGAAGATTTACAACCTTATCAACTGATTAACCATCATTCCCTAATACTCTGCGTCTAACCTCACTATTACTTACCCTCTGATCCCTCCAAGTGCTAGCAATATTTCTAAGACATCTGTGGTCGAATACTAGTAGCTTACGACTATCTTCTACTCTTAATGGCCACATTTAGCAATCATAAAGTAAAACAGAACGAACTGTCGCGTAGTATACTCGTCATTTCATTGAAAGATGGATATCTCGACCTCACCATAGGTGACGTTATTTGGCAAAAAACAAACGAGCTTTCCGAATCCGTGCTGAGATTTTGTCAGACACCAACCCATTAGGGCTGACCAGACTTCCAAGATCAGTGAAGTTGTTAACACGTTCGATTACTTCACTCCCTATCCTTAGTTCAAGTGTTGACGCAAGTCAGTCCTGAAGCAACAACTTGCATTTAGAGGGAGAGGAGCGCATTCCTGACAAATGGTAGATATGTGGTCGTTTATTACCACTGATGCTCCTTATAACTTATTATTAATGGCTTTATTGAATGTTATATTTTGGTACAATATATGTATTGTATATGAAATTATGTGGAGAATTATATTCCATACATCAAAGTCATTCAACTGGAGTCAACCGATGGCAGCTAAAAGGTATGACGTACATACACAACCCAGAAAGTTAAAGTCAATGTGAAACTTTAACCTTCCTATTCGTTTGTTAATGCTTGGTTTGATAAGCATGAATGGAGAAAACCCTAGAGAGAACGCGTGCTGGAAGAGATGTCAAGGCTCATAAAAATAAAGCAGCTGAGTGTATTAAGCTTATTTACATCATTAGAATTATTGCTTAGGAAGGTGGTTCAAAAAAGATATGACTCATTTGTCATGTTAAAATTTATAAAATCGATTTTGAACCAAGTGTTTTCAGTCTAATGTTTGATAATAATACCCGGTTATATGGCTTAAACTAATGAGGGTTAAAAATTACCTATGTACCAATCCGTTGAGCACTAGAAACATATTCTTAATGGCAATATAGAAAATCTAACAGTTCTATGCACTTATTAACATTTTAAGAAACTTTATGGCCACCAAATATACTTCATGCATAGAGAAGCGTTTTACTTAAACTATTAAGCATAATAACACCAATAAATTAAAAATGAAACTCGAGATGCATTTTTATCGTCCTAATTGGGGCACCTAAATAAAGCTATGGACTACTTGCCTATAAAAACGCCACTGGACGCTGTAAAATGAAAGTAACGTTATTTTTCTAAATCTGGCTTTCAGGGTACTGAGATGCCAGTTAGGTTTATTTTACAAGAATTACAGAGAAATCACGATTATAGTCCTTAAGGGATATCAATGTTCAATTTCTCTAGAATAATTGAATACCTATGTTGTATGACATTATGTAATTGTGAAATGCTACTTATAGGCTTGATTACAGACCATAATCTTATCTCCCTGTTTAAACCCCCACAATACTGTCTGATTATCACACGCAAGACTGACACACATGACATAAAACAATCGAAATTTGTCACAGTCTAACAATACTAGATGGGATTACATTCTCTACCATCTAATTGACGGAAATAAAACAGCCACATCAGGACAAACCAGGTGATTTGCTGAATGCTACATCTTTAAATATAACTAGTATTAGGCGTACAAGGCAGTTCATTGATACAGAAAATCAAGGAAAATACTACTTTAGCACATACATGCTTTTGTTTTTCATCTCTGATAATCATATTATATAGATAAAGTTACAAGAAATTGCAATAGATTACCTTTAAATGCAGGCCAAAAGCGACAAAGTCAGTAAAAGAAGCACGGGGGTAAACATTTCTTTCGTATAAATACAAATGAATCACAGATTCAATAAAGTAACTGATTAAATTACCAACTGGCAAAAAATGTTAGTCGAAAACTAGGAACAAACCATCTACTTTTACTTGCCGAGCCTGCATTGAACTAAAAAGGAAATAAAAGTGTGAGTTAAAGTATAAGTATAAACAGAAAATATATTTTCATCCCCACGCCTGAGTTTTACAATAATGTAAAATTAGTTTTCCTTCTACACTGAAACAGTCATACAATGAACCTATCTCAGCATCCATGGCCGGTGCGAAACACTGATTTACGTAGAGAAATAAAGATTCAGAAGGAGCACATGATATATATTTCCTTATAAAATCCACTACCCAATGGATTTTCTGCTTCCTGCTTACAGACCACTTCATCTTTTTCATTACAGGAGCATTTCCAGCAGCCTTAAGCAGAAGTATCACTTTATCTGGCTGATTTTCTTGCTCACTATTAGTAGCACTATTATGTTCAGTGGACAAACTCATGCGACCAATCTGTCCCGTATGTACATACAACTAATTAACCTTCTGAAATTGTAATGTTTCAGGGTCAAATGGGTCAAATGGTTCAAATGGTTTTGGATGAAATAGAAGAAGCTTTCGCTTAACGGGCTTCCGTAACTAGTAACAGTGGATCACCAGTACCTCCAGGTAGGAACGATAAAGGAGAAGAAATAAAAAAAAAATTGGGGAATCAATGTAAGTTACTGTCCTTAGCCTTCAAGAATATGTCAAGTTATCTCCTAAAGGACTCCTGGGAACTCGATTGAACTAGCTCAGCCGGTAGCAAATTCTAGAGTTTGACTACTCTTGAGGAGTATAATGTGTGTCTACAGTCCATTCTGTTGTGTCGTATCTCCAGTTTCTGGATATGACTCCCAAGGTTTGTGTCGGAAATAAGCTTAAGTAGTTGTTTAGGGGATTTTCGGAAGTATTTAGGATGCTGTAAGCCATTAGGTCGCCTCTAAGACTCTGTTCTCTAATGCGTAGAGGTTCAGTTATTGGAAGTGCTCTCCCTGAACTGAGTTCGTGGCTTGTCGTTGGATACGTTCTAGAGTGTTCTCATCCTCTTACATTTAGGGAGGAAATACTATGCTTCAGTACTCTAAATGGGGACGAATGAAACTGTTGAAGATTTTATGGAAAGCTCTTCCGTCGAACTGGCTGAAATGTACTTCAATGTTACCAGTGCAAGTTTTGATCGGAAAGCATTTTGGTCTGTGGTTACAAAGGCTACCATATAACGTCAGACAAATCCTCAGCATATCAGGAGCCTATGTCAGTCTTGATGATTTAGCAGACACAGCCGATAAGATGATAGAAATATATCCCGATAGTCGCGGCGTTAACTCGATACAGTCCTCAAGTAGAGAGGACATGAGCGACGCACTCAGCATCCAGCAAAAAACAACACAGTTTACACAGGAGTTAGCATCACTGCAGGCGACTATTGCTAACATTCATTCTCGACCTGCCAGATCTACGTCCAGAAAGAGATCAGTATCCAAGCAGGTATTCGGAATTTTTCGGTATCATGTGAATTGTGGTGAGAAAGCACGCCGTTGCACTAAACAGTGCAACTTCATTACAAACAACCCAAACTATCAGGGAAACGAAGCGGGCAGACAGTAATGGCGGCGGTTGTTACCGGCCAACACGTTAGCCACCTCTTTCAAGTCAAGGATAGTGTTTCTGGCTCGGGCGTTTTAGTCGACACTGGAGCAGAAATTAGTATCATCCCACTCCATCTCTCCCTCAGACAACAGGCAACAAGCACTAAACTGTCCCTAATAGCGGCTAACGAATCAGTTATCAAAACGTACGAAGAGCAACCACTTATATTAGACCTCGGACTCCGCAGATTTACATGGGTTTTCATAGTTGCTCATGTCACACAACCCATCTTCGGAGCCGATTTCTCCAGTGCGTACAATTTGTTAATAGATATGACTAAGAAGAGATTAATCGATGCAAACACACGTTTACAGGTAGGTGGTACACCTTCCAGTGACTATGAAATCCATGTTGTACGAATAATGAAGCCTGCGAATAACGTTTTCAACGACATACTGACAGAACACGAATGCATCACGAAAACAGACTATCAAAAAGAATGCGACCCACATCATGTGCAATATCACATTACCACCACAGGCCCTCCAATACGCGCCAGGCTAAGAAGACTACCCCCACATAAACTAACAATTGCTAAGCTAGAGTTCGAGCACCTGATGCAGCTAGGCATCATTAGGCAGTCTAGCAGCCCATAGGCAGTTAGCGTAAGACTTCATGTCGTAGGTTAAAAAGACTGTGGCATATCAGGGACTCCATAACTTTTGAGGGCATAGAGAGAAGTGCTACCAGTTGTTAGCTAGAAGATTCGCTGCGTCAACCCCCCTAGAAAATTAGTGTGATGTGAGCCAGCTCCAGTTTCCCACTAATGTGCCTCGGCTTAGTGAATGTGAGAACATCACCAAGTCAGCGTTCGTGTTCACATCTGAAAGTTCTGTGGAGTTGCAGACGAAGCTTTTGTCGATATAGTTAGTGTCTGGTACTGAAGCCTGTATTCATTTAATACCTTTGTGTATATGCTTGTTATTTGTTTGAAGTGCCTATATGCTCCGTTGTTATTAGTTTGTTTGTATTTCGCCCAGCAGTGCCTCTTGCGGCTCAGCAAATAAAGAGAGCGGTTCTTGCTAACTGTAGGTTGCTTGAAGTTTCCAGGGACATTTTAAGGGAAAGACTACCTTGTAGCATATAAGGTGGTGTGCAGTAAGTAATCCCAATGAACATTCACATCAAGTTGAGGGTGGACTTCACAGTCCACCTGATGTATATTATCTAGTTTAGCTGACACATACAACCGTTTGAAATTGGATGCCTTGGCTCAGTTTTGCTGGCAAAACTGAAGGCTATGATGGCGTGATCGCTTTTCCTAGGGGAGCTAGAATTGAGTGGTTGTTAATTAGGAATTTTTTGTTTCTAAATACTTAGTCTAAGCGCGACGATATTTGACTGTTTCCCCAATGAGTTACCGACCCCACATTTTCGATTAGTCTTAGATCTTCAGTAGGGTTGGAGAACTGAGCTTCAGTAAAGTTTTCACCTCCAATGTACGTATGTTCCAGGAAATCGACTTTGGGAAGACTGAAATCAGGATATGAGTGAATCCGAGACGAGTATAGTGGGATAATCCTTCCAGCATATAATTGTCATACTTGATGTCAGGAGTGGACTTCCTGTAGATGACTCCAACTAGATACCTCGAGGTAGTAGATGATCATAGTGAGCACCATAAGGACTCATCAAGTTTGACAAACTCTTAGTTGTGCACTTGATGTATCTATAGGCAAGATCGCAAGTATAACGCCACCCCGCCTCCATTCTAGTTCTGTCGTTGTGAAACAAAGACATAACGAGCATTGCCAGATCCTGATCTATCAACTGAGGAGATATCCATGTCTCAGATATTCCTATCAGATGAGCATAATTAGGATTACTGAGTTCACGCAGCTCTTGCATTCTATTCGATAAACTCATGGCGTTCATTTGTAAGGAGTTTATGCTTTCAGTTTGAAACTCCTGAGCTTCCTCGTCCGGTCTACCTATGTGAGCTTCATGGGAACAGATAGATAACTTACCTACACATGGTTTTCGGGAGCGGTAGCCTCTGTCTATTCTACGTTTTTTCATGACCTTGGCAGTCCACAACTGAAATAGTTAGCTTAAACTTGCTTTTGTGTTTGATCCTGGCATTATGTGGCCTATAGGGATGAATATGGATTCCACTCGGCAACCGGCGTTTGTCGGCACGAAATGCATCAAAAGATGCAAGGATGGGGAGGTTAGGATCTAGGATCCTTGTTCTTCTCGGTTAGTCTCACCACTTGTTGAGTCAATATGTTCTTCAACCTCAAGGACTGCTTGATGAATTTCCGTTCTCTATATCAGAGTCTGTGTCGTCAGGTTTCGTGCTTTCTGGCACACTTTGTACAATGAATCTTTCTGTGGAAAGGCTCGCAAGATTCCTTAGGAATGTTCCGGATGAGAATGCCCTCAGAATTCAGTTCATCAGGCAGTATTCTTACACTGCCATCTGATTTCAGCAAGTGACTAACCAGTAGGGAATCCTCTACGTTGGCAGAGTTAGTGAACGTTAAACTAAGTAGTCTTGGGTGGTTTGGTTGCTCGGGGTCTTTCCCTCGAGTGAGCCATGTGACCATCAGAAGGATTTTAATGAGAAGTTCAAAATTCTTGTTTAACTCTCCCCAGAACATCCTGTCATTTTTGTCTTGCAGACTGAGGGGAAGGTCAGAGCTGTCTTTAATGTCCATGATTATGAGAGAATCTTCGCGAACCGTGATTATTTTCCCGGGTTTTTGGGTAAGTTTAGGTTGAGGAACTTGTTGTTTGGTGGTTGCCTACATAATTTAAATAGCTGTAGACGTAACAGAAGGTTTCTTCCAACAAGCTTCCGTTTCTGATAGTAATGAGTAACTTCTGGATCCATTTGGGAACCTCAGTGTATAAGAAAAACAGGAGTAAAAAATATATAAGGCCGTATGAAATACTGTCCTGTTAATTTAAGAATGCCTACGGAGGGACTTCCGCGAAGTTTGCCAAACAACATGAGCCGAAGTCGATTCCAAGAGTGAATCACTGCTAACTATTAGGAAAAGTCCCGGAAGCTCAGCTAACAGTGGTCCAGCTTCCTTTTCAGTTTGAGAAGGATTCGAGCTTGTCCCCTGAGTTAGTCCTGGCGAAGGAGTGTCTCATCTGTTCCAGGTATTTTCTTAATGCGTCAAAAGACGGAACTCCAATCAGGCATTGAGGTAGGGTGTCTCATTTGTTGATGATTTAATGGGAAAGTCAGTAGTCAGCTTACAAGTAATTTGCTTAAGCTTATGAAATTTTCGGAAGTTCCCGTGAAAATCCTCTGTTACGGTAGTCAACAAAAACAGCGAAATTTCGGGCGAAAAACTATTGTTAAGTTGTTCGAAGGCTGTGTTTAATTCACCTCCGGCACTTCCATATGACAAATGGCCAGTCTCTGGTCAAACGGCACCTTTGTGGCTCTGGAAGTCAACTTATCCGATTTTCTGTGAACTATTTCCAACTGCTCACTGTCCTTTTTAAGGCACATACTGGCTGCTCTAGGAATATTCCAGTTCATTAACGAAAACTGTATACAAATTCCAAAAGATTTTGTATCTCGGTATCTGACTCTGTTATGAACGTATGATGATGTTAACGAAATATACATGCCCCCAAACCTCGTACATAATTATCAACTTAATTCTCACTAGAAGATGGTGGTAGAGCTCCAGAATGAATTTTGGATACATATAATTCATACACTCGTCAATCCAGATGGACAATCAGAGAAACGAAGTGGACAATCAGACCAGAGAAGGCAAGCCTGAGGACTTATTTCGAAAAAGCATGACTCAATATCTGTAGTTGAGCAAAAATAAACTAAAGATATG